TAAAGAACGGGGTGGTTTAGGACAGAGGACTGTACGTTATCTCAGTTAATAGTAGCTTCGGCTTGATTTGCAGTTCTGTATCTGTTCTTGTTTCAGGCAGATCAGCGATTTGTTTGGAACGGACACTTGTTGAGAGAATTCATAGCACAGCCAGAGGTAAGATCCAATTATTTAGTGAGTAAGGAAGATTATAAAAAGCACAAGAAAACATTTAGCATGGTGAAGGAAATCCCTTCAGTCCACAAGGCTCTAGAGTTTGTTTCATTGTGAGCAATTAAGAAAAGAAGAGAGGCAAGGCTGCAGTAATCCAAAACACACTAGAAGCGTTTCTATGACTTGATGAGGAAAACATCAACCATCAAAGTGATGGAGTGAGGAAAAGTGTGGCACAAAACAAGGTAGGATGATGAGCTCCAGCACCCTCTCATCTGATGAAAATTCCTAATGTACTGATCATTTACCTGCTGCCAGAGGCACCAGGGTGAATCCACTGCAGCAACATTTTACGATTTAGCAGGAAAACGATGGTACATGTAGCCAACGTAACCAAGGAGCTTGTGTCATGGAAACTTTGAAATGTTCAAGTCAGTCAGCGAGACGACTTAAGGAGTTGATGCTGTTTTCAGTGAATCGTGTCATCGGGAAAAATAAAACCAGCAGATGTGTAGCTGCAAAACGGCTTCAGCTAATAAGTTTGTCTCCTGCAGTTCTATACAGAAGCAAAGCTGCTGAGCTCACCGCCCATTTTTCATTTTCCAAAATATGTGTAACTGTGGAGAAGGTCCGCCTGTAGCAGACAGTTTCATTTCAACATGTTTAAATATTCTGCTGCTGTACATAGAAACATTTACCGCTGCTCTCCTTTCACAGCTGCACATGTTTGTGTTTCCTGTTGTCCACGGCTGTATCCTTTCCTGTTTCCTTAGTGAATGGCAGCTTTCATGTTACCTGTGTAAAGTGGAACTGGACGGTGTCATTTAATGACCACTAAGCAGACTGGTCTGTGCGCTCTAAATGCTTTGTTGTGATTGCTGGAGCGCTTTTTTCTTCTTCTTGACAGAAAACTATCAGATGAGTAATAACATAACAATAAAACATCCAGAGGACGTTGTTTAAAAATGTACCGCAGTGTAGATGTTTCGTACCACTAGACTAAACTTGAGTAAACCTTACAAATGTTTCATACTCAATTTTTTTTGGCAATGAGTCTTTAATATCATATGTGGTGATGTTTCCTGTCAGCACTGTTGTGTCCTTAACACGTGCTAATCAGTTATCACTGTGAAGTCGAGCTGCATCAGTGGAAAGGTGTTTGAGTGGAGCGTTATCTCCAGGAGGAGCTGTTTCAGAGCAGGGGTCCGCTACTATGTCCGAGGTAATTTATGTCCTTTGAGCTAGGGCTGGGTTTTGATGATCGATTCATCGATTAAAATCGATTCTCGCTTGGATAACGTGATATCGATTCATTAAAATCCTGATTTTTTTAATATGAATTTTTCCTGAAACACCAGAATCTCAGGTGAAGCCTCACAAAATATCAACAACCACCAAACATTTAAGACAGTAAATGAGAGCAGGAGCACGGACTCTGCACAGAGACGCGAACACACAGCTCGACCCGCCGACGCATCAGAATCAGTGAGCTGTGACTTTCTCACCGACGCCACGGACACGGTCGGGGCTGACAGCCGACAGCTCGCTGACTCTGACGTGTCGGCGGGTCGAGCTTTGTGTTCACGCCCTTTTTGTGCTGATTCTGAAGCTGTTAGTTTATCTCTCTCCAAACAACATTGATCCAAACTAAGCTTCACACAAACATCGTCATGGACTCACTCTGACTTTTGCTGTTTTGCACGTCATGCACAGCTCTCTCTCTCTCTCTCTCTGTGTACTTCAACAACAGTTTCACGTCTACAAATCTGTTTTCTTCATTATTCGCTTGCTTGTTACGCACAAGTCTGTCGTTGTTTACAGGTTGTCGGCCGCTGTTTTTTCCTTTTACTAAGAAAACCTAATTTCTGCCGTTCAACAGGCTTCTGAACAAATTTAAACTTTTTAAAATTATACAAAATGCAAAACACCGTGTCTCTAATCAAACCGCTGTAACGTCAGAGGTGATGTTCATTGTTGATTAATGGTTTTCTTTCGTTTTTGATCGACTGCAGAATATTTTAATAAAATCCAGGCCAGAAAACCAGCTTCATGTGTTTCTGTTTTATGTTCAGTTGCTTTGACACAAAGGCCTCTGCTGTGACGCTCACACCTTTGATAAAGTCTGGAAAGTGTCAGCTTTCTTTTTATAGATACAAAAAGATGTAAATGTGCTGATCTGAGTTATAATATTTCTGACTGTCTGAGGCAAAATTTCCCAGATTCAAATCGAATCGATTCTAGAAACCAGCCCTACTTTGAGCCCTGACCGAATGTTCTGGCTGCTTTATGTCTCTGAAGAAATGTTCTCAGTAAATGCATTTTGTGGTATTTTCTTCTGTTTTTATAACAACACTAAAAAGATTAGAAGAATTTACAGAAAGGATATTGTTGTTCTGGGAGGATCCTGCTGTGTTTGACACATACTATCCACCTGAGCAGTGTAGCAGACACAGCCTGGCTCCACCTGTTGCTTAACTGCAGGTGGGTACATGCAGCGAGCGCACGAGTCATTTGAACATAGTGGAGTCAGTGCGTTTGCACCTCAAGTCAGTGACAAGCTAATCAGCTCCTCATGACTTTGAAGGATTCAGATAACCGAGTTTGTCAACAGTTTTTTTGTGTGTTTGTGTGTTTTTGTTGTAGGCATTGATTCAGAAGGACACGCTGCTAACTATGTGGAAACAGAGCAGGTAGTGCAGTACAACGGTGCAAAGGCTTCTTTTGTTCAGGTGAGCCAAACACTTAGTGCTCCAGCAGAGATTACATGAAATCTGCCGTTCAGACCAACGATAGCAAATAGGAAAATGGTCAGTAAGTGAAGGAACATGGGTCCAAAAGCTTCCTTCAGTCTGTTGGCTTCCCAGGGTGCAGAAAAGTTTACTCTAATAACAATGTAAAAAGATGAAGAAACAGAAAAATTCCAAAAAGTTGATTCTGTTCATCTGGACGAAGCGTTTCATCAGGTGACCTGTGAGCGAGTGTGGCATTTACTTACCTGGATGATTGAAGACAAATCATGTTCAGAAATTCAACAGATTAACATCTAAATCACTGCAAAGGCACCTGGGACCAAGTCTGGGAGAATGCTAAATATCTGAGTGCAATGAAGTAAAAGCAGTCCAAATGCAAGTCTCACACCGAGCCCACGGATATAACTCAGGCCTTACTCTGCCCTAAGTGTAAAATAGAGGTGGACAACCTCACTCACTGTCTGTGCTCATGCAGAAAAATACAGCAGTATTGTTCATAAAGTGTGACCTGGATCAGATCTCTGCTGCCGCTGAACCCGTCGTGTTTGCTGCTCCGAATGACAAAATCGGGCAGATTAGAAAAGCAGCTTTACAGGCTGTTAACATCTGTGCAAGCAAGTGCGTCCTTTTGAACTGGATCACGGACAAGGCCCCATCTAACCCTCAGAGACAGTGGACTGTACTGGAATGTGTGTCACCTAACATGCGAGTTACATAGTAGGGACAATGTGTTTGATCAAATATGGGACCCTTCATGTTGTTTGGATATTTCAGCTATTTTCACACAGGCGCTGGTTTAATGTAACGTATGGATATATAGCTTAATCTATTAAAGTTAATATCTCAAGCCATACATGTCTCCACAGTTGGGTCTTTTTGAGCGACCAAGAGCTTCATGGGCTCATCCTGTAGACACGCTTCAGAAACTCTGCCTTCTCTGGGTCTCTCCTCTGATTTCAAATTCTCGTTGTTAATGGTGTGTTTGCAGACCAGAGGCTCCATCCCCTTCTACTGGTCCCAAAGGCCTAATCTCAGGTACAAACCAAAACCACAGATCAGCAAAACAGTCAACCATGTAAGTTCTTTACATGCAGATTCAAGTGAAAAAACAAATACCTGTTGTTTATCTTCATTTCTGAAATCTTCCTGTTTTTGTCGTAGCTGGACGGATTCCAGAGACACTTTGACTCCCAGATCATCCTCTATGGAAGACAAGTCGCTTTGAACTTGGTGAGAACAATCCGTTAGCTACTGATTTTTGCATTTACAAGACCATGATATAACCTCACAGTCAAATGAGATAACAGCAAACCCACACATACCCATTTGTTTTATTTGTTCTGTTCTTTCACAGATAAACCAAAAAGGCTCAGAAAAGCCGTTGGAGCTGGCATTCGACAACATGGTCACAAACTTGGGTAATGGCTTGATCAAGTAAGATTACCACTAATTCAGCCTCAGGCTTCATCTGTCTGGCATTTACTCGACATCCAGCTTTCCTCAGGTAATTAAAGCCTCGCTTTTGTCTAGGTACATAGCTTTTGACTTTCATAAGGAGTGCAGCCACATGAGGTGGCACCGCCTTCAGATCTTACTGGACATGGTTGCTGAAATGCAGGATGACTTTGGGTCAGTGAGCTAGTAGAGCAGCTTGTGTCTGTCCAATAGCAATACACTCTTCATGAGAAGTAATGTTGTGCATATGGATGCAGATATTTCCTAGTGGATGCAGATGGAAAGGTGCTGTTAAATCAGGAGGGAACTTTTCGGAGCAACTGCATGGACTGTTTGGATCGTACAAATGTCATCCAGAGCCTGCTGGCCCGACGCTCTCTTCAGTCACAGCTGCAGGTATTAAATGCATAGTCACATATAATAATGTGTAATGGTTCTCACATGCAAGAACTTGCTTATCCTTCAGCACCATCAGGAAACCTTGAAGTACTTTACTGTACAAGCACATTTACACACATTTAGACGTATGAGTCATAAATGTTTTCTGTTCACCACCACAAGGATTTTAAACCCAACAGTCAATATGTGACTAAAGTGATTCAAGGGTTTAACAAAAACAGGAATCCAGCCTGTTTTAGGAAGTTTTTCCAGTCAGTGGAAAGGACCCCGACATTTTGAGGTAGAGCAACGCACAACCATGTTTTTCATATACTGCTCTTGAGCTGTGCTGGACTGCTTTTCCCCTGCAAGCTAAATTCTGAATTCTACTGATGGCTGAGCTGGTTACCCTAAAGGTTTGGTGAGCTCTGTGGTTTATTTGGGCTCTCGACCCGTCCTCGAGCTCCCTCGCTTCCATTGGACCGTGTTTCCTTTTAGATTGCTGGAATTCATTTTTCATTAACTGCAAATCAGTTAATGTAATAATTTTGCTAAACTCCTTAAATCTGAGCTGAAGGTCATTATTTGGTTTAAAATCTAACACAGTACGTGTGCAGAGGCCAAATTACAGAAGTGCTTTCATGTGTAAACAGAAAGAATGCACAAATAAATAAACAGCATGTGACACTGATACGAACATGATACTGCTTTATTTAACTGGTGATGATTAATTGTACACATTACACCTTGATACAAAGCCTGTATAAAGGTAAAGGCTCAAATCTGTGTAACCTGTTTGCACTGTGCTCAGTCTGAGCAGCCTTGAAGTGGCCACTTTCTGCTTTAATGCTTCCTTCAGGTTGTTGGTCTGTTTGGGGTTTCACTGATCCCTAACAATGTGGTCAGAGACGATAAGAACAGTAACAGACTGAACTAGCTCGAGTCTAAATATCCACAATATTACAGAGATTAAATGTATATCGTGTACATTTGACTCTAATCTATAAAACGTCGTTACTTTCACTGCAGAGGATGTGCGCTATTGTACTATTGTATCAGTGGAGGAGTTGTACAGGGAGATGGCCACAGACAGGAAGGATTTCCTGTGGCGTTCAGTGGTGCATTATGGGTAATCTCAGCCTCTCAGTGAACGTGCTCCTGTGACTGGCCAGCATGTCATGGAGGTATTGTCCAGCCTCATCTTGGACAACATCCGCCTCTCCGACACCACCTTAAGGAGTCCAGCTCCGTCCCCACAGCATTACTGGCCTTACGGATCAGTTTGAGTGTTTGGCATCTGTGACCCTCAGCCTGCTCCCCCAGCGTGCAGCAGCATAGAGGATGGCACTGCCACAACAGACAGCATCGTCTGACAGATGTTAAAAGACCTGAACCACTTGTGCAGTGTTGTTTTTAATCCAGTCCAGGTTATTATCGATGTACTCCAACGGACTTGTAGTCTTCCACGATGTCCACTTCAACCCACTCCCCCCAGTGCTCTGCCTCTTCACTGTCACTGATGCATTCATGATCAGAAAACCTCTGATGGCAGGTTTCTGTGCAGTGGCTGAAGTCTGTGGTGTACACGGTGAAGAGGAAAGAAGAGAGGACGGTCCCTGTGTTGCTGATCACCTGACACACAATGTTGCATCAGCAATCCAGGACACCAGAGAGGCATCCACCTGCATCGCTGTCAGCGTATCACCCAGGAGGGTCGGCCTGATAGTGTTGAACGCCTGGAAAAGTCAAAAAACATGACCCTCACAGTGCTCGCCGGCTGGTCCAGATGTGCATAGACACCATTGAGCAGGTAGATGATGGCGTCCTCCAGGCCTGCCTGGGAAGTCAGTGACACAGGTCTGCAACCCTGGGGTCACTGGAATGTGGCGACTTTGGTACAGGACCAGGGCAGGACGTCTTCAGCACCGGGAGCCTCTGCAGACCCATGAACAGAGGGAGAGAGTGGCTGAGCGTTTACTGCAGTGTCAAATCTGTTGAAAAACACATTGAGCACATTAGCCCCTTTTTAATCGGACCTACTTTGGTCAGCTTGCTATGGCTCACCACAGTTGGTTTTCCCTTACACTTCAGTAGCACCTAATGTGCCTGGTTGTTGTCATTGCTGCCTAGCATCCTGTAACGTAGTTAGTATGCAACATGAATGGTACAAAAAAGGTGGAAGTGGAGGCGTGGATATACCCGCTGCTCGGTCTCTGGCTTTTCGTCAAACTCAGGGACCGTGGCTTTGTTTCGTATTTCCCTCATTGCCGGGTTACAAGAACGGCAGGTTTGACTTTCATGAACGAGACGCTCTCATGACTCATCGAGTGACGCTACTGACCAGCCAATCGCTGGGATGCAGTCTCACGACGTCACCTGCTTAGATCGCTTGGAACGTACCGGCCCCAGCTTTTAAGGAGCCCCTGTCTTTATGCCACTCCACACCTCGCTCATGCTGTTCTGCTCCAGCTTTCTCTGGTAATTATTCTCTGATGTTACCTTTCAGTAACTGAACCGTGCTCACCTCCTCTCTATTGTCCAGTCTGAAGGCCTTCTTCTTGTCGTTGAGGAGGGCTTTGATGTCCTCGTCACCCACAGCTTGTTATTTGGATAGCAATGTCTGAGCTGGGACAGTGGAGTCGGTGTGGAAGGTGTAGTCGGTGAAACACTCACAGTCTCCCAGTCTGTCACAAAACAGCCCTGTAGCTCCACTGAGGCCTCCTCCGACCCCCTCCTAATACTACTGGTGGTCACAGGCTCCCTCTTCACAACAGGCGCATAGTGGAGGGTGAACTGAATCAGCTTTTGTCTGACCCAGCCAGTGGGGGTACAGAGCAGACTGACATTAGCATACAGTTGGTCTAAAAGTCTCTCCCCCCTGGCGGGACCGACCACATATTGTGTGAAGTTGGCAGTGACGTGTTTGAAGTCACCAGAGAGGCTGTAAGCTGAGTCTGTAACCGGCCAATGGGAGAGTGAATAATGTCCCATGCAGCTGTGAGCTGTGGGGTAGCAGTGGGAGGAACATAAACAGCCACATGGGTCCTGGGTCCAACAGCGCACAGTTCAGTGTCCGGGCAACAAATCCACAACTTGATTGTTATATGAGCAGAGTTACACAACCGTTTGTTGCAAGAACAGCAAGCCCTCCTTTATGCTCACAGCTGGCGCTCTCGTCTCCTTCCTCTCTCCCCCAACATGCCCCCCCTGGTTCTGTTGCAGGTTTCTTCCTGTAAAAAGGGAGTTTTTCCTTCCCACTGTTGCCAAGTAATTGCTCATGGGGGTTGTGTGATTGTAGGGTTGTTTCCTTGCTTTGCAGAGCACCTTGAGGTGATTGTTGTTGTCTGTTGGTGCTATATAAATAAATGAAATGGAACTGAATCAGTCCCAGGCCTTTATGTTGGTGTTTTTCTTTACACTTTCACCATCATGTCAACATCTGCTTCTGTCCAAATTATAAATATGACATCAAAGAGCAAATAAAAGTATCTGAGCACACAGTTCATCAGTGAGTTCATCTAGCTGAAGGACTGTTGAGCAGCAATCTGTTGATGTCAATAAACTGGTCATTGATCATGATCAGGAGTACGTCTCCTCTCCTGAAACGTGATTAATTTGCCCTAGATGTAACTGTCTGCAATTCTTCTTGGCCTTAGTTGGTGCATTAAAGCTAACCAATGACAACAAAGCGTTCTGTTTGTACTGCTTTGCACTGTAGTATCTGCAGCTGTGTCTGTAGGGACAGAGGCCACATCACTCCAAGGTCACCTGTTCCTCTGAGAATAGCAGACTTGTTGCTGAGCGGGTTTTTGAAACCCTGCTGTGTCTATGATTGTTCTTCAGATCTGGGTGCTCCTCCTGGCACCTTACAGTCAAAGTAGTCCCACTGCTGTCTGCAAATGCACTGGAATTAACTCCATACCATTTTGCAGTGGGATTATATTTGCTTTGATTCTTCTAAATGAAGGCAGCAGGTAAACAAGGAAAATGTTTGCATAACCTCTTAAGCCCCAAGCCCAACTGATCCCCTGCCTTTTGCCCCCGTATCAGGGGGCGTTGGGGCTTAAGAGGTTAAACGAGTTAAAACAGGGCTGTATTAGAAAACAGTGGCATTCAGACTCGAGAGCATTTGACAAAAGGTGTGTGTGTGTGTCTTTAGAGGATGGGAGTTCTCCACATAGGCCAGCGGATTGAAGAGCAGACAGACTTTGAGAAGATGTACAAGAATGGTGGGTGTTCCCTCACACAGCTGTAGCCTGAGTAGTAACAACTAATCAGAGTTTGTTGTTTTCATATCTAAACCCTGCCTAATATGCAGCTGGTCCTTTGCATGCTCGCAAAACCTTCTGGATCCACTGATTTTTACAGGACATCTAAAGGGCATTGTGTGGTAAACACTGCTTCAGTTTGATATGCTCTGTCCCAGCTACTATCTGGCCAGCATGATTTAGCCTTTGTCACAGTTTTACACACACACTGAGCAGAAGACTGGTCTCTTATTGCACTCTTTGACATTTTTGCTTCATGGTTAGACTATAACTTTATAAAACATTTAGTCATTGAACATTCCCACACATTCATACTCCAGTGAATGCATCAGAGAGCGTCTCAGGGTTCAGTGTCTCGTTCAAGAATACTTTGACATGCAGACTGGAGTAGCCAGGGCTTGAACGACGAACTCTCTGATTAGTAAATGACCTGCTCTGCCTCCCCTTCTGTGTTTCACACACAGCCTGGGCAGACAATGCTGACGCTTGTGCCAAGCAGTATGCTGGAACTGGTGCCTTAAAGACTGACTTCACTAGGTGAGTGTTCACAGCAAACACATGCTAACAGGTTTTTGTTTTAGCCCTACCTGTCTTCAAGTTGTGCCATCAGAACTGGCAGTTGTCTCTTCCATAATGAGGTGAAAGCAACCACCCACTCTTTCTTTGGAGTAGCTATTTCCTTTTAGCGTTTTGTTTCTGACTTGTGCTACAGTCGATTGTACTCAGTTAAAATATAAGGAGTCTTTAGAGTTGCAATAAAGAATAAGGGAACGGTGATGCTTTTCATGTGTTCATTGAACACACAGTAAAAGCTCCCAGAAAAGCCAAAATAAATGATGTCTTCAAAAGTGTGGATTGTAGATCGGGATGCACCGATCAAACTTTTCCAGTTTCAATACGAAACCAACACCTTGGCTTTGAGTATTATCGAGAACAGTACCAGTAATTAATGAACATGTTATGTCTCACTGTGAGGAAGACACTAGCAGCATCAGACGCAACGGACAAACTGTTTTCCTACTTAAAAATACAAATTGGGGGCAGCAAGAATGGCAGCACCTCCCTCTTCCCAGCCATCTCCTCCAGGTGGCCTCTTTGCAAGGAGAAGCAACAGTACTCTGAGACCCTCTGAACTCCTCACTAGGGATGGGTATCGTTTAGGTTTTATCCGATACCAGTACCAAACCGGTACTTTTGAAACGGTGCCGGTGCTTAAAGAATGGAGAACACACACAAAGTCCAAAAACCTCTCATGTTCAGGTGTTTCCCTCTTTTTCTTTGGTCATTTTAGCCTTTTTGGCCAGGGTGAAGGGAGTATCTGCCATCACACAAGAAGACAGCTGCATGTAGCTATGATGATGTTTGCTAGTTCACCTTACATGCATTAATGTAATAACGTGGTTAGCCTACTCAACGTAAATTACACACGAACAACATGAAGCTACTCACGCAGAGAAGAACGGCTGCTGCTGCATCATCATCCTCATCATTTCTGCCACACTGGCAGGGCTAGGGGCCAGGACTCTCCTCTTCGGGTTCTTGGGGGATGTTGCTCCGGGTCCGAAAACAGGCACCACCAGGGTAGGGTTATCGGGGTCCCAACCTGGGAGCAAGGCCTGGAGAGGGAGCTTGACGGAGAACGCCTGGTGGCCAGGCCACTGTTCTCTGCCAACTTGAAGAAGGAAATGACCCGCCTTCTTGTAGGTTTGACACCCACAGGAGATGCTGTAGGGGTTGGGTCCATTGTGTGTTGGGCAGTGGGCAAGAGCAGGAGCCCTGGTGAACTGATCCGAAGCTTTCGAGGCTAGCTACTGGGACATGGCGAGGTTCTCAAGGGTGTTCATTCTGCTGTCCTGCTGGGAGACTTCAGTGCTGATGAGGGCAGTGACAGCGAGACCTAGACGGATGTGATTGGGAAGAGCGTCCTGCCTGGTCTTTGCAGCTGTTGCTGGTTAGTGTTGGTGGTTAATACCTGGTTCTAGCCTGCAGAGAAGTCTAATATTTAAAGATCACTACAGCCACACATCATCAGAATATTACAGTTTGTTTTGTTTGCGAGGGCAAAACCAAAAACCCAAATTGGATCTTGCTCTTAAAGAAAGTTTCTAACTGGCGAGAGGTTCTCCTCTGCGGACCGTCCTTGAGCTCCTTCATTTTCCTGTGAGTTCTGTACTTTAACACTTATTAAAATGATAAAGTAGCTGTAAATGCTGCTGCTTTTCTTAATGGTGCTGAATTTCATGTTCATATTTCAGGACAGGGAAGAGAACACACTGGGGACTGCTGATGGACGGCTGGAACTCGATGATCCGATATTACAAAAACAACTTCTCTGATGGCTTTAGACAGGTGGGTACCAGAGACGAGCTTCATGGCTGATCCACCAGAGTCAGAGTTACAAACATATGAACCCAACAGAGTAAATTATTCACCATTTGGCTCCAGCCAGCTAGTAGAGGCACTTCCTGCCTTCGTGCTGCCGGTGAAGCAGCTGCTGCTGTTCTGGACATTTGATATTGCTTTTTAGTAGCATTTCATTACCTGATTTCTGCATTCATTTAGTGGGAAGTCAGTGGTAGCTGGCTCAGTGCACAGCGGCAGCGGTTGAGACAGATGTTGAGAGATTAATTATGAATGGAAATGCTCCGTGGAGTCTAACGCAGCAATGACGACTGCCTTATCAAATAGAAACACATGATCACAGCAGCAGGAGTTGCTGCAGACCAGAAGCACCACTGCTACCTGCTGCTGCCCTGAGCCGGTCCTTCCTCCCATTTGATTGGCAGCAGTTAACAGGTCATGTTTCATATCAGCGTTCTTTACACGTACAAACTGTTTAAATTAACCTTATTATGGTCTCACCTTTACTTATGGAGTCCACACACCGACCCTTTGTTCCTTTTTTGCACCATGGACTCACGAGCGCCCCCTATCAGTGCCTCGTTGCATGGCAGGGCACAGTTTGTGTGAGTGTGTGCAATCAGATTGTTTCATAAAAAATAGTTCATAGATCAAACCATTCGATAAAGAAACGATTTCATTTCTTTGATTATCATTATTATTTTTTTATGATGACCTCTGCTGACCACACGTCACTGGTGGGTTCAGGTCGTCCTTTATATGCTACTTCATTAGTGTGGAATAGTGTGAATGCCATATTGCAAAGTGAAATGAATCTGTTCCATCAGATACTACAGCAATATCACAATAATACAAGCTGCTAATGACTCTCACATAATCATCATGTTATGAGTAATCAGACCGCTGCAGGTAGAGTGAGCAGCAGAACTCGAGCAGGGCTCAGCACTGATGCTGTGGAGATTTGGACAACACTGTGAAATGTAAATAAAAACAGAATGCAGTGATTTGCAGATCTCATTAAGCCGTATTTCTTAGTCCGAATCAAACATGGAAACATGTTTAACATGAGAAAAATATGAGCTCAGAAAAGCTCAGAGACCATGTTCCCCACTTCTTTTAACAACAGTCCAGAATGAAGGAGCCTCTGATGAGAGGTGAAAAGTCTTCAAACACGTCCAGTCTCACTCTTTTAAAGCCATGACCTCGACGAGCTACACACCCGTCAGTGAAATAACTGCTGATCCCCTTAAAGACATCTTTGGTTGCTCTTTTTTAAGCAGAGACAAAAACTGTTAGGCTGTGTTCAGTGTGGTCCTCGTTGCTTTGTTGCATTCTACACATCAGTAATGACATCGGTAAAATCTTAAACCTGCATACAAAAAGACTTCAAAGTCACTGCAAAATCCAGCAGTTAAAACTGTAATTCATATAGAAGAGCGTACCTGTGATGATGCCGCTGCAAAGCAGAGTTCAGGTGGGCTGTTTTTCCTGCAGGATTCCATCGATTTATTTCTGGGGAACTATGCTGTCGATGAAGCTGACTGGACCACTCCACTGCGAGACCCCAAGGACTGGAAGTTTCTGACAGTAAGAAGAGCTCAAGAAGCTCGACTCACAACATTTTCTTTTTCTGACGTCTTTAATGTGATGCCGCTTGTCTTTCTTCTAGTTGCCCATCATCATGGTTGTTGCCTTTTCCATGTGTATAATCTGCCTTCTAATGGCCGGTAAGACTAACTGCAATAAACTGAATGCAAATAAATTTCCTCCACTGACGCAGTTCGACCTGTTGTCTCCTGTCAGGTGACACGTGGGCTGAGACGCTGGCTTATGTCCTGTTCTGGGGAACAGCCAGTGCAGTAACCGGTGGGCTTATCCTCTTTTATGGACGGGACTTTGTAGACGCTCCTAAGCTGGTCCAGAAGGAGAAGCTGGACTGAATGTGTGCGTGTGGAAAGCAGCTGGGCCCTCGCAAACTCACCACCTCGTCCTCTTCCTCGTCATCACTTTATCTGCATCAGCAGGCCTGGAGCCTTTACTAACGCTGGAGCGAGGAGGTTGGTGGGCAGCGAGGGTGGCTTTGTGCACCACAGCAGGAGACTGAAGAGTGCACAGGCCTGCTGCTCTCCACACTGTAGCGGACTGACGGTCTGTCTGAACTCGACACTGAACTCAGGAGCTGTTCTGACCCGATGTCTTTGTTCCTCATTTAACTGGAATGCTGTGGACCTGTTTAAATGTGTTTCTTGTTGTTCTCCACCTCATTCCTTTTATGAAAACATGGGGATCAGACTTCAAACAGCATAGCTGTGAAGATATTCCTCATTAGAACTGGTGTGTCCTAGGTTAGACACTGCCTGTGGTTCATACTCTGCGTTTTAAGATCAGTTTTAGCTTGAATGGTTTTAGCTTCTTTTCTGGAGTGTTTGCAGGGATCCAAGTGTGCTCGTCCTTCAGAATCCAGTCAGCTAGAACACGATTTATGGTTGTGGAGTTAAAAGCGGTCCCTTGATGAAGAAAGGGGATTCATCCTGGAAACCCTGGACCTTGAGAAAGAAAGTTGTCATTAACTCGTTTTCTTGTATTACATTGAACTATTTTGCATGTCACTTCACCAGAGGAAAAACACTCCATCTGTGTCACTGTGGTACTAAAGGATAAATCAAATCGAAACAGTATTCTCTTCACAGAGACACCATCGTGGCTGACAGTGTGCTGATGTTAGGCCGATGTCATCTCTTTGGCTCCAAATTAAAAATGACATTTATAAAAATGTTCGTCCTCTAGGTCTGTGCGTGTTCATGTATTTTGAAAACACGCCTGGAGTCTTCAATATCACTTCAATTCAAATGCTTTATGTGTGCTTTATATTATCATCATTATTATTATTAATAAGACAAATATCTACAATATAAAAGATAAAAAGCCCAACAATCAGCGCTGTTGTGACAGTGAACAAACCCGAGCTCAGCGGGCTGTGAGGGGCAGCAGAGGGACCCGTGTGGAGCTGCGTCGGGGTTTTGCTATTTAAAATAAAAAAATGTGTTGAATAAATTTGTTTTTTCAGCTTCAAATTTATTTGTTTGGTGTCAGATTCCTTTTTCCCGTTTTTAAACACTTGAAGTTGTTGAAGTTTGTTTTTGTGAAGTCAGGTCTGTAAAACCAAATGAATGGTGAAGCACTACAGAGCTCATGCTCCCTGTGTACTTGGTACACACTCATTTAATTCCAATCTTTGGAGAATAATACATTATATTTGGAGGCGCCTTTAAAGACCCTCGAGGTCACCTTACAGTAGTACGAAAACATGAGTAAAACATTTTTTAAAAAGCAAGCATGAAAGTAGAAAAGGTAAAAATAGAGATTTATTTATAGAAAGCTGAATCTGACGGCACCGCTGTGACGGCTGCAGAAGGAACTGTGTGTGTGCAAAGTGCCTCTTCAGCTTACTGTTTAATGGTGGCCTACTTGTCTAACTGCACATAATCATTAACTGTTATCTCTTTATTGTCAGGATGAACTCTACTGAACTGAGACTGCATGAAGCAGTTATGTAATTACAGGTGTGCCCGTCATTTGTTGTAGAGTCGCAGTATCAACCAGTGCAGATGAGCCTTTTTGTACTTTGTTCTCAAAATCAGCTCAGAGATGAACAAGAACGCTGCGTTTTCAACATGTAGTTTGTACCTCAGGAACGTCCAACACAGCACCAACAAATTACCGTTATCATCTTTGGATCTCAGAGGGGAATTTGGTCTGTGGTTATGTTAATAAGAAGTACAAATCATTTGGTTTAATGTAAAGGTTTATAGAGAACACCTGAGAAGTGGAACCCCATAAAACTCTGTGACTAATGTGTTTGCAGGCAGATTAATTCATATGGTTTGATGCTTCAGGGTGATATTTATAGATAGATTCAATTCAATTTTATTTATATAGCGCCAAATCATAACATAAGTCGCCTCAAGGCGCTTCATAGATACAGAGAAAAGCCAACAATCATATGACCCCCTATGAGCAGCACTGTGGCGACAGTGGGAAGGAAAAACTCCTTTTTAACAGGAAGAAACCTCCGGCAGAACCAGGCTCAGGGAGGGGCGGGGCCATCTGCTGCGCTGCTGTTTTCCTCCTCGCAGCGACTCGTGTTTACTGCTGAAGACTATTTCAGGATGTGATTAGATGTGATCTTAACTGCTGTCATATATCAGCGTAATGACTGAAGTACTTTGAACTTTGATTTTATAGCATTTGATGCACAAATGTGTTTCTAAATAAAGGTGTTTATTATAGGAACTGTTTAATAAACTCCTTGCTTTCTAAAATATAACAGGACACCGGAGTAAATTCTGAGCATCTCACACTTCTGATAATCAGCTGTCTGCTTGATGTTTATTCAGCTGTGTAAAAACTTTAATCTCAGCCAAACCGATTTACTCAGGAACAAATAAAATACTAAAAAAAAGCCAAACAATAACATTGTTAAGTTATCTAAGTGACTCATATATCATGTTTAACCTGAGTAGTGAAAGACGGCGGTGGGTTTGAAAACAATTTGCCGGGAGTCCGGTGTTCTCACGGCTCTAGTGACCCTTGACCTCCCGGCTAGCTATCGAGCTAGTGGGTAACAGACGTCTCTGAAAACGTCGGAGCGCTTTTGAAAATATGTGGTGTCTTGATAAACTGAGCAGATATTTGAGGTTTACACAGCTACATTCTCTGAAAATATGTTAAACGTTTATTTTGTGACCAGAAAGAATAATAAGAGTAATATTAAAACTAACTAACTTGTAAACTGAGCTGGGATGCGCGGTTCCTGAATTTGGACACAGCTATGACACCGTACACAGCTGCTTCTTCTTCGGGGTTTAACGGCAGCTGGCATCCTTGTACATGCAGTGCTTCTGTCTTGGTCCGTTATTACACTCTTAAATCCTACTACTGCGTCTTTTGGGGTTTTACAAAGCTTCAAACGACACGTCGACTATTAAATTAGTCGTGGACTAATCGTGGCAGTAATTAATCAAAGATTTCACTCTTGTTCAACAAAAGGATTTTAGGAGTAACAGTAATACCATACTGTTTACATTGAATTAGATTTAGGTTTCTGTATACAGTGTCATTTCATAACAACAATTACCTCGGTGTACTCAAGGACTAATTTGCTGTGACGAGGATCAGTTGATGACGAAACAAGGAAGCTTAAAATACCAAATCAGATTAACCTGAATGTTCAAGAAGAGAAACATGCTGGGCGACCCCCCACAGGTCAAACCTGCAAAACACCAAGAATAAAATACAGCTTCCCACTGTCTTTGTATGGGTATGGACATTTTATTTTTTCACTTTAGAGAAACAGGCTGTCAGGTATCGTGTGTATAAAGTAGCTGCTAAATAGTTTCAGTACACCAAAAACAGTACATTAATAAATAAATGTGTCCATCAATGTGTAATCGGTGTTCAGGTATTGGGATTCAGTGAGCCAGATCACACTTTTACAGCTGACATTTTTTACATCCCCACGCAGTGTGACTCTGCACAATGATACTATCATGGTGCATCATGATCATCAGAAGAAAGGAAAATACAAAAATCCTTTGACAAACAACATCACGAGGACTCATGTAAAACTGACCGGTTGGATTGTAGCTGGCGATGCTTTTTCTATAAGAGACATTCAAAGTGCTTTTTTCTGTATATGCACCTTGTTTCACATTCACACAATCACTGTGCGTCAGCTCAGGCTTTAGTATCTTGCCCATGGATAGCTATTCCAGTCTGCACGTTCAAGCGAGGAGCAAACCACCAACTTTCCAACCCACCTTATGAGCCACGGCTACCCCATGTTTAGAATGTCAGCATCGTGTCGTAGACCTGCTGATATTTAGTTTTCAGCATATTTCTAAACCCTTGCAGTTTTATTTATATCGAGCAAAATCAGTACAACAGTTGTCTGAAGGCACTTTACATTATAAGTGAAAGATCCTACAAAGAACACTCCAACAATCAGACGACCGCACAAGAGCAAACACTTATAGTGAGAAGGAAAAACTCCCTATTAACTGTGACAGGTTAGCGCCTCCCTGACCGATGAAACCACCTGTCCTGTAACTGAAGTTCATAAAAATGTATTCCATAACAAGGATGGAACAGTGTCTCACAGTCTGTTTCTAAAACCTAAAGAGAATTATGGATTTGATCAACTGGTCTCTGAATGCTATTGACTCCCTTTTCTCAACGAGAAGTCTGGGCTCGGGAGAGCCCGAGTGCCCTGGAGGGACTTTCCCTGCCGGATACACGATGGACGGGTGGCAGACATGGAGGATCGTGTGCCTGGCGGGACTGTCAATCGAGGACGCTGAGGATATCTACCTATTCGGAACCATGGTAACAGGGTTCTTGCTGATCGGAGCTGGCTTGGCTCTGGCTTATGGGAGGATTAAGAAAGTCGAACCGGCTGTTCAAACCCCCACAAAGCTGCCCGCTGGGATTGAAACGGTGGGACGAGGCGCGACTTCTCAGAACGGGCTCATTGAGAGCAGCATGGTTAAGAGCTTGGAGACGCAGCTGCTGTGAATACTCAGAACAACACCTCTGAGCGTATATTGGGATACATCAAGGAGAGGCCTGCTCAGAATAACACCTCTGAGCGAACGTTGGATCACATCGTGGAGCAGCTCACTGCAGTCGTGAGTAATCAGCTCTCTGAGCACAAGAATGAAAACACCAGCAAGTTTGATACCATCATGGGGAAGCTCGCGGTTCTCCAACGGGAGATTGAGAGACCAGTGTCGGAGTGTTAAAGAACAGCTTTGAAATTCTCACGAGTTGTCGCAAAAGAAAAATCACCATCATAATCCAGCTACCCCTTCGGCGCCAGCTGTGGGCTCAAGGCTGGAGCTGAACAAAAACTCCCTGATAACGACTGTGTTTAGTCTTTTCTTCCCATTCCCTACAAGGTTGGCTGGGTTGGCTGGAAGACTGTTTACTTAGCCTGGCAGGGCGAAGGACACTGTCTCAGCTGAACTATGGACACACACACACAGACATATACTGATAAGCACTCACTGACGCATCACCCTCCCTACCCCGGATCCAACGCCACCTCCAACGCTTACCTCCCCTCTGATGTGGACATCGGGTCAGTTGGAGGCGCAGTCGAAGATTGCAGCGGTCCCAGATCAGGTGTACACACTGGAACTCTTTCCCACGTTGCTGTCTGTGTTTATTGTGCTATGGTGTGTTGATATCTGTGCATTCCTGTATTATCCTTCTGTGTTACACATTTCGATGTTTTTTTTCTCGCTACCTGGTCTGACCTGTCTCCCCAATGTGATGTTTGTATTGTATGTACGGTCGGCAAGGTCTGTCATCTCGGTTGTGGGTAAAAGACCTGCAACTGACACATAAAGGCTATCTCATCTCATCATCTCATATGAAATATGCATGAACATTTAGATGCAACAAGGTCCATAAAAACAAGACACAGGAACAGACAAGACATTTTCATGTAAGGTCAGGAGTTTATTGTGGAGTTTACATTTGACTCCTACAGTCAGTTATGAATACCTGCAGGTGGCAGTATGCAACATCTGAGTCCAAATGATTACAAACATCACTCCATTGATGTTTGTAATGGTTAAAGGTCAACTGGCTTTATATAAGAAGCAGTTTGAAACTCGGTATTTACAGATGTACTGGGACAGAATCCATCAAGAAAAAAGAGACGTCTGTCTTCTAAAAGACACACACGCACATAAATGTCTTACTTCTTTAATCAAAACCCCCCAAATAAATTTCAGATGAAGCTGAAAGACAACATAGTGACTTACAAGACGCTTTATGTCCAAGAAAACTAACAGTTCATCATTTATTTACTCACTGGCACAAAAAGCAAAAATCACACTTTTGATTAGTCCAATTATTCGGTCATTCGATGACACATATCCAACAGTATATACACATTTGACATATTTGGGAATGTACAGAGAATTTTTTTTATTACAATTGTGTTTTGGCACAGCACTGTTGGCTCATACAGGTATTTT